GAATTTATGAGTATATATACGTCAAACACGGTACCTCGTAAGACATATATATACGGCCGCGACAGTCAAAGGGTTAATTTCTTCAAGTTTCCCATATCTGAGTAGTTGAAATTTCTCCTCATTGAACTTCATATTGTTTTGAGTGGCCCATTCGAAGATTTGGTTGATGTCCGCTCAGAGTCTCGCTGTGTCTTTGATGGTAATCCGGGTGTCATCCGCAAAGGAAGACACGGAGCTATGGCTTACATCTCTGTCTATGTCAGAAATGAGGATGAGGAATAGAATGGGAGCGAGTACTGTGCCTTGCAGAACAGAGTTTTTTACTGTGGCTGCCTGAGACTTTATTTATTATTACTCTTTGTGTTCTATTTGTCAGGAAGTTGTAGATCCATCTACCAACTTTTCCCATGATTCCTTTATCATGCATTTTGTGTGCTATTACACCATGGTCACACTTGTCAAAAGCTTTTGCAAAGTCTGTGCACACTACATCTGTATTTTGTTTATCCTCTACAGCATCCAGGACCTTGTCATAGTGATCCAGTAGCTGGGACAGGCAGGAGTGACCTGCTCTAAACCCGTGTTGCCCTGGGTTGTGTAACTGATGGGTATCTAGGTGGTTGGCTCTCTTGCTTCTTAGAACCCTCTCAAAGATTTTTATGCGTGCTGCAAAATGTTTTTTATATACATGTAGTGCACACTTACCACACAGACCTATTCTCTCATATGAAGGCCCAAATTTACCAGTCACAGCTTAACTGAGTGAGCTGAGCTCATGGCAACCGACAATGGTTTCAGAGCCACCTTATCTTTTATGGACAATGTACGGTGTATGTGCTTTACACAATGAAAAGCATTTCTTTTATTTGTTGGAACCATGGCTAGGGCTAAAAGCAAGCAGGTTATATCAGTAAATGGAGAAAATGAAATTGGAATGACTTATGCAGCAAGGTTGGTGTGGCAACCCTGGAAATTTGAAATTATGCTATACCTTACCTTTGATATGTACCTTCAAAGAGTTTCATTACTCTCGGAGCCCAGCCATGGGCTAGGCTCAATTGGTATTTGCCTGGTCAACCAGGCTGTTGCTGTTGGAGGCCTGCTGCCCCACATATCCATCACAGCCTGGTTGATCTGGTACCTGGTGAAGATACTTGTTCAGTTTCCTCTTGAAGGCTTCTACACTTGTTCTAATCATGTTTCTGATATAATCTGGTAAGATGTTGAATAGTCTGGGACCCCGGATGTTTATAGTGTGCCCTTGTTTTCCTCACTGCACCCCTGCTCCTCACTGGGTTTATTTTACACTTTCTCCCATATCTCTCACTCCAGTATGTTGTTACAGCAGTGTGCAGATTGGGGATCAGGCCCTCCCAGGCATTCCCAGTAATTTAGGTGCTTTACTGGCTCAGTGTGAGCCATAAACAGTCTCTGTGTTTGTTCCAGCTCTGATATTTCTCCTGTTTTGAACGGGGCTGTCAGCACTGAGCAATATTCTAAATGAGGGAGCACTAGCGATTTGAAGAGTGTCACCATCGGCATTATTTCCCTTGTTTTGAAAGTTCTCAATACCCACCTCATCATTTTTCTAGCTGTCGTGATCTTTGTCTTGTTATGATCTTTAAAAGAAAGGTCAGCTGACATAATTATTCCCAGGTCTTTTGCTTGTTTCTTTTGTACTATTTGGTGACCTTCTTGGGTTTTATGTATAGTGTTCCTTTTGAGTTCTTCATTCTTTCCATGCCTAAGCAGCTCGAACTTATCATCATTGAACGTTATGTTGTTCTTCACTGCCCACTGGAAAACCCTGTTTATGTTTTCCTGTACTTTTTCAGTGTCCTCTACCATAGTGACTTTCATGCTTATTTTAGTGTCATCTGCAAATGATGATACAAAAGTGTGACAGGTGTTTTTATCTATGCCTGCTATGAGGATGAGAAACAGCAGGGGTGCCAGGACAGTGCCTTGGGGCACCGAGTGTTTCACCTCGCTGATGCTGGATCTTGCTCTGTTTACTACTACTTTTTGTGTTCTGTGTGTTAGGAACCCGAAAATCCATCTGCTTGCCTTCCTTGTAATGCCCATGGCCCTCATTTTGTGCGCTGCCACTCCATGATCGCATTTGCTAAACACCTTTGCAAAACCTGTGTAAATCACATCTGCATTTTGGTCATCTTCCAAATGCCTCCGTAATTCTGCCATAATGGTTCAGCAGCTGTGAAAGGCATGATCGTCCTGCTCTAAAACCATGCTGGTTGTGCTGGTCCATGAAATTTGTAATCTGCTGTCTCATCACTCTTTCAAAGATTTTTATGATGTGAGAAGTTAGGGTTACTGGTCTGTAATTTTTAGCTAGTAATCTACTACCTCCCTTATGCAAAGGAGTTATGTCTGCACTCTTTAAGGCCTCCAGTGTTTCACCTAAATATAAGCTCTTTCTATAAAGAATACTGAATGGTCCAATTCTACACGTAGTTCTTAGTTTGGATTTTGCATAGGAATAGAAATATTTTGGATTTCTTGCAATATCCTGTATGGCCCTTTGTTCCCTTTGTACTTTTTCTGTTAGGTATGACATCCTAAGTTTTTGCTCTAATTCACTGATGTCTCGGCTAAGACTATCTTTCCGCTGTTGCAACATTTATGTTTTTAAGCAATTCAGTAACCCGTTTTCTTCTACTATACCATCTCCTACGGTCTCTCTTATATCAGATCTTCTTCTGGGTTTCCTCAATGGTATGTGCTTCATACATACCTTGTATGCTTCTGTATTCAGCTTCTCTAGGCACTGGTGGGGATTTAGGATGATCATGTCTGATTCCCAGGATATGTCTGATAGCTCTTGATTTGTTTTTCCCAGTCAATTCTATGGTTGTTAAAATTAAACTTACTGAATATCCTGTCTCTAACATTAGTGACACAGTTCCCTAACCCTGAGTTAATACTCGTTTGAACTTCTATGATGTTGTGATCAGAGTATATTGTTTTTATAACTGTTATGTCTCTGATTAGCTCCTTGTTGTTGATGAATATCAAATCCAGGGCATTTTCATTTCTAGTGAGATCAATTATCTGTTGGTCCAATGAGTACTTTTCACAAAGCCTCATTAGTTCCCTGGTATGTGCCTGTTGAGCCAGAGTGCTTCCTGGAGATATTTCTGGTATAACACTGCATTGTGCCATCTTCCATTTTACATGAGGGAGATTAAAATCTCCAAGGAGTAAGCCAAAATTAGTGCCGGGTTATTGATGGAACCGGATTACTGATTGCCGGATTTATGATGGCCAACCTGTAGTAGCAGCAGTGAGAAAAAAAAAAAAAGAGTGGAGGGGTTAAATAGTTTGGCTATGTAAAAATGGTAGAAACAAACAGAACAGTTAATAGGGTGGATATGAGATGTAGATGAGGCCTAAGGAAAGGTTGGGAAAAAAGGTTGTAAAAGTTGTTTTAATAAGTGGGGTTTTATTACAGTATTTATTCTAATATATAATTAAAAAATGTTAAACCCACATGATGGTAGGGGCTCAAGCTTCTGACATGCATATATGAGTGTTAGATTGGACTAAGTAGAGGCAAGTGCTTTTTAGAATTTGACGTGCTGTTAGAAAGTAAACCTGGCAATATCTATGATGAAGATGGTCTGGAAAACTAGTTAACTAGACTAGTGTGTTTTGCAGGTGGGGATTGCTGTAACAGCAATCAAAGAGGAAGCCAAGAAATTTCATGATCTTGATAGCCAGGATAAGAGACCCATACAAGGATAGCAGGGACTAAAGAATGATAGATTGCTATGTGAACATAATGAAGTTGATTTTGGACAACTAGTTGAAAATGCAGTTTATCACATGTTGTAATGAGGTCACTTCTTAAATATTTGCACAGCAGAAGGTATGATGAAATCATACACATACAAAAAAGACCAAATCAATTGGAGAAGTACATAGGTAAGATGGCAAGCAAATAGGAACAAGAAACAAACTTTTCAAATTGAAGGAAGTTTTGATAACAACTGCTGTAAATTTTGGACCAAACAGCAATCACAAGTGTTTTCAACAAAGCAATTAAGGTACAGTAATCTGTATATACACATTTACTTATCCCAGTTTAGGGGGTACAGTACAGCAGTTTCAGGCTCCCTTTAAACTAATTTTATATAAAGAATCCTATACACAATATGAGTATTAGCCTTTTCTGCTTTTTTAATAAAAGAAACTTGAATTGCACTTTATAACCAAATAAACTTTTCAGTGAGAGTGCAGGATAAAATTGCAACTTTTTTTTTAACAAATCAAGAAAGTGAACAAAGCTTTTTAAGTCTCAAAGTTAAAGTTTTTTTGACTGTTTTAAAAATTCCAACCCTTCTAGTTTTCTCTAATATACTAGACCAACTAGAATTGCTGAATAATTTCGGGACAAGTTTTTAAAACAAACTTAGGTCCATGCAGTACAGAAACCCCCCCCATATAAGAATGGGGGGGGGGGAATATTTTTCAAATGTCTATTTAAAACAGAACGTGCTTTAAAAAAAACCAAAAAAAAAAAACAAAAAACAATAAAAAAAGAAGTTAAAAATACACTTTTCCAATGAATTTTTGTCCATTATTTTTTAAAAAGGGCCCTTACAAAAAGGGTTTTCGTAGTCCTACCGGGGTTTTTTTTTTAAACTTCATGCAACTAGCACCACAGCTGGGGATTAGTCCCCTCCATAGAGGCGTGGTCTGGGACGGGGGCCCCGGGGGCACGACCCCCAGAAACTTTTCCCGATAGACTCCAGGTTTTTTTCTTTCTTTTTAACACACCGGGTGTATCCCACCAGGCGGGGGGGCCCAAAAGGAAAAACAAATTTCTCCTTTTGCATTTTGTTATAACAGGGGAAGAGGTTACAGCCCCTTCTCCCGTTTTTTAGTCCCTCTTACAACACGCATGGTTACGGGGGAAGAATTCTGTTCACTTTCCCCCTGGGACTCCCGGTATACATACAACAAATTACTTCACTCACCTGGCATCTACCACATATTGAAAATTCTCTAAGCTCTTTCTCTATGTTGGTACAGGGAGGGTATCGACATTCATAATAACAATCTTCCTCCTCCTCCACCACTTCACCATTTGCGTTGAAGTATCGTGTTACTACAAAATCACCATATTGCTGAAAAATGAGAATACAAATTACTGCACATATTAGATGCCTACTGGTTACACCCTTCAGGCAAGTGTGTGAACACAGTGCATTATTATGGGTTTGACTGCTTGTTTGCAACTGTTAATATTAATTATTTTATGGGATGATACATAAGTATAGCAAATTATGCTGTATTGAGTTAAATGTGTTTTAGGATTTAAAGCCTTTCAACTTGGTGTAAAAAGACCAGTTCAGTCATGTCACTCTTATTAACTTTTTGGGTGGTCAGTATCAGTGAATCAGTGCATTCTTGGTAGCTAACAGTCAAGTGTAAATGAGTTCCATCGAATATACTTTTGAAAACCTTCTGCCTGGAGCTGAACTGATTTGCCTGCAAGATAAGTTCTGACTATTAATTCAGCTAGCCAAGTTTGGAATATATTCACAAATTTGTCTAAGATCCCTCAAAACTGAAATAGATAGCATATTTATATAAACTTTGTTGCTGTTCTTCTTCTTCTTCTTCTTCTTTCAACAAACCAGCCATATCCCACCAAGGCAGGGTGGCCCAAAAAGAAAAACGAAAGTTTCACTTTTTAAATTTAGTAATTTATACAGGAGAAGGGGTTACTAGCCCCTTGCTCTGGCATTTTAGTCGCCTCTTACAACACGCATGGCTTACGGAGGAAGAATTCTGTTCCACTTCCCCATGGAGATAAGAGGAAATAAACAAGACCAAGAACTAGTAAGAAATAGAAGAAAACCCAGGGGGGTGTGTATATATATGCTTGTACATGTATGTGTAGTGTGACCTAAGTGTAAGCAGAAGTAGCAAGATGTACCTGAAACCTTGCATGTTCATGAGACAGAAAAATGGACACCAGCAATCCTACCATCATGTAAAACAATTACAGGCTTTCGTTTTGCACTCACTTGGCAGGACGGTAGTACCTCCCTGGATGGTTGCTGTCTACCAACCTACTACATAAACTTTGTTATTTTCATTATTTAATGTATGGCTATCTGATTATACTCATATATTTAAAGATAGTATACACAATTTTTGGAGGGAGGGAGGAAAGGGCCTGTCCTGAACTGGAATGCAGGATCTCCTGCAGGTAACTAATCCAGTTGGTCATTATGGAAGTTGTCTCCTGACTCTTTCCTAACAACTGAATTTGCAGCAAAGTTGCCCAGTATTGTTTGGGCCAACTCAGTATAGTAGTCTGTTTTTCAAACAAATCAAAATATCTGTACAGGCTGACTTTACTGAACTGAATTCCCATTGTGACCCTTTTCATATCCTCATCATGACCATCCACATTTCTTTAATTATCTTCTTCTTCTTCTTCTTCTTCTTATTATTATTATTATTATTATTATTATTATTATTCTTTCAACGTACCAGCCGTATCCCACCAAGGTGGGGTAGCCCAAAAGGAAAAACCAAAGTTTCTCCTTTCAAATTTAGTAATATTTATAGAAGGGGCTATTATTATTATTATTATTATTATTATTATTATTATTAGTGCTGTGTTTTTCTTTCAAAATGGTTTTCTCATTGCCAATGTTCACCAGCAAATGCCTGTTGATCAACCAAAAGCAGTCTCTGCTCCATTACTATCAAGAGAGCTACAGCACAGTCAACAGGGAACTGATATGGACTGGTTCTCTATTGTTGCTGCTGCTTTTCAGGGATTCCTGTTTAACATTGCCATGGATAGCACCACTATGCTACTCAGCAGAGCAATCCCTATTATTACTGGGGGGATTTACCACCAGAATTTTTTGCTTTGGCCTACACTGGTCCTAAATAAATTGAAAATGGTATTTGCTGTACTGAAACACCATCAGTTGACCTAACTTCCTCTCTAGGGAGACACATTCCACCTGCACTGCTCACTTCCTTGTCATGCATTTCCATTTTGCTTATCTACTCTGTATTGCCTTTCAACAGTTAGTTGGCATCAGAAATTTTAATGTCCTTCATCAGTAAAAAAATCCCTAGCCAACTTACAATTTTACACCATTCTTGTAATAAGATTTCTAAAGGGTCCCAAAAAAATTCCTCAAGTCTACATCCCTGCACAGTACCATCTAATTATTCTTACTTTAGACTCTCCTCCATATTTTGAATCCTATCATAATTTGGATACGGGTTATGATCAGAAAAGCAAACACAGTATTAAAAATGAAAATGAAGAGTTTATTTTATAGCAAATGCAAAAATTCAATAGTTTTTTTTTTTTTTTTCAACAAGTCGGTCGTCTCCCACCGAGGCAGGGTGACATTCAATAGTATGGTAGTAAAATAAAATGTGCTATTCTAATTTAATTTCCAAGGATTCTATATAAGTAATTATTGTAGTGATTTGTTAATGTATTCTTAAATTGACAAACTAAATTGAAATTCAAAACTTAGTCTTAAGTTGCAGATGCACCAGATTAGTTCCAGGCAGAAGATTTTCAAAAGCACATTTCTTAGAACTCATTCTCACTTCTCTAACAGCATCCAAGAACACACTGACTCACTGATACTGACTACCCACTAGTCAACCATGGTGATGCAAGTGATCACATCACATTAGTTGATAGGTTTTAACCTCAAAAACTCTTAAACTATACACTATAGCATAAACCACCATCTTCTTTCTTTCAATGCACCAGCCGTATCCCACTTAGGCAGGGTGGCTCAAAAGGAGAAACGAGTTTCCTCTTTTAAATTTAGTAATGTATACAGAAGTGGCTACTAGCCTCTTGCTCCCAGCATTTTAGTCACCTCTTATGACATGCATGGTTTACGGAGGAAGAATTCTGTTCCACTTCCCCACGGAGATAAGTGGAAATAAAGAAGAACAAGAACTACTAAGAAGATAGAAGAAAACCCAGAGGGGCATGTGTGTATATGTATATGCTTGTACATGCATGTGTAGTGTGACCTAAATGTAAGTAGAAGTAGCAAGATATACCTGTTATCCCATGTGTTTATGAAACAGAAAAAAAAGACACCAGCAATCCTACCATCATGTCAATTACAGTGGACCCCCGCTTAACGATCACCTCCAAATGCGACCAATTATGTAAGTGTATTTATGTAAGTGCGTTTGTACGTGTATGTTTGGGGGTCTGAAATGGACTAATCTACTTCACAATATTCCTTATGGGAAAAAATTCGGTCAGTACTGGCACCTGAACATACTACTGGAATGAAAAAAGTTCGTTAACCGGGGGTCCACTGTACAGAATTCCATTTTACACTCACTTGGCAGGATGTAGTACCTCCCTGGGTGGTTGTTGTCTACCAGCCTACTACCTAGAATATTAACATAATTTCCAAATACCTTAGTTATTTACATTAGTTTTTAAAGGATTTTAATTAAAACACTATTACCAATTGCAAACTAAGCAGTTAGACAGGTCATTTGTCCATAAAAAAAAAAAATATTCACTCACTTGTCAAAAGAGTATAGCCTACATTTGTTTAAATGTAATAAAGGGCCAGACAGCCTGTATCTTGATTACCAGAGGGTTTAGCAACAAAATTCAGAAAGGCATGATAGCAAATGAGCCCTTTCAGCCATACTCACAAAGGGAAAACCTTATGATGTATGCCAAGTTAGTCCAGTAAAGATTGATTTCCCTGAGCTTGTGTTCCTTAGAAAAAAGGCAATAAATACAGTGGCAGGAATAATGATTCACCTCTTCTACTGGGTCTGCAGGTAATTGTTGGATAGCAACCCAGTATAGGGACTGGTCTCTAGGTGTTGCAATCTGTGTGACTGTAGGTTGCCTGGCTCCTACAGGTACTAATGCAAGGTTCTCTAGTCTGTTGTCTACAGTCACACGGTTTAAATGGATCACTTTCCATCCAGACGCAATTCCTCCTCTATGTGTTTCCCTGCAAATGAAAATATGAATTAAATATAATATTTCAGAAAAAATATGTATGTACAAATAATACTGTACATTAGTAACAGTAGTGTTAAACAATATGTTATTATAAAAGTATACTATAGTAGAACATATGGACTGATAGTGAATAAGGGATTCATCCCTGGTACTGTATACCACAACACACTATATGTTATGATCTACACAGTTTAATAAAAATTTAAATAACTATCACACAGCTAAAAAAAAAAAACAGTCTACCAATGAGGATGAAATAATTTCAATCGTTTCACTATCGAAGAATTGAAGACATTTACAGCTTTTATGAGTATAAAATACAATACAGCAAAAAAGGAATGTTAAGGATTTAACCCTTTGACTGTCGCAACCCCCAATCCTGAGGTGTCTCCTGGTGTCGCAAAATTTAAAAAAAAAAAAATTTTTTTCTTATGAAATGATAGAGAATCTTTTCCCGATTGTAATGACACCAAAAAAACGAAATTTGATGGAAAACTGACGGAATTATGCTCTCGTGAAGTTAGCGACCTCAGCGATGTTTACAAATCGGCGATTTCGCCAACTTTGAGCCCTATTTTCAGCTAATTCCATTGTTCCAGTCGCCCAAACTCATAGCTATTTCTTTAGAACTCCATTTTTTCTATCGATTGAGCACAAGAAACTGCCCATTTACCGATTTCAACTACCTAATAATGTGGTCAGAAATTTGGAATTTGGCCAATTTCACAAAAACTAAAAAATATGACAATTTCAAAATAAGGTCCAGAATGAACAATGCAGACATTCCTGGCTCTAAAATAACATTTTCTTTGTTCATCAGTCACATCTCCAGTCCCCTCTGATATTATTCTTGCTTTCTATTTTGAATTTTTATTCAAACAAAAAATAGAAGACTTACTATTATGCGGACTACTGCAATACTGTAATAATTGTATAAATAACATCAACCCATTCGTGACTGCATATTAGAATGGCTAATTGGACATTTATTGGAAAATGGCATCATTTGTTTACTTTTGAACATTTTCAAACATTTCCCCTACTTTGAGCTCCATTTCTAGGTTCTTTTTATAGTAAAATCAATCAAAATCACCTCTATTTCTATAAAATGTTTTCCATTCTATCAAATGAGACCAAGAAAGTGAGAATACAACCATAAATACTATATGAAAATAGACCACAAAGCTGGCATTTTAATAAAAAAAAACGGTCGGAGTTTTTTTTTTCTCATTATGCTTGCGTGCTCCAGGATTTTTTTTTATGGTGCACACGGGCCCACACAGCCCATACTCTCAATTGGGCCTATCAGCTTTTCCTGTTGATTTGAAGCGCTAGAATTTAGGGTTTATAAGTAAAACGGGGGTACCTCAAAATGTTTATACGGCTGCGACAGTCAAAGGGAAAAAAAATGGAAGCGGGAAGACCCTTTTAAGGTTACAAAGGGTGCTAGTGTCAAAACTATGAGGAAAATGAAAAATTTTCTAATTCTTTGGCAAAAGGGAAAATGGTGGATCATCAAGCTTTGGCACCTTTTGTTTTTGAAGGCTCTTATTTTTTAAAAAAAGACCCAAAACCAAGGTGAATTTTTCAAGGTTTTTATAATATAATTTTTACATTCTGAAGACTGGAATATTGATGAAAGGCCATTGAACAAAAAACTAGCCATCCTCCCTTCCCTGATTAACCCCCCTTTTCCTAGGGTTGTATGATCCCTATGGATTTAGCTCTTCCTCATGAATTATACATGGAACTTGGTACTCGAATTAAATTTCTTTCCCAGAAGGTGCTCGGTCCCAATCGTTTGAGATCAAAAAATTTTTTTTCCCAACCCATTTTTTTTTGGTTGGCTGTTATCACTAATCTTAAAGGGCCCATGGTGACTTTTTTTTTAACAATAATGTAAAAAACACCAAAAAATGCAAAAAAACACAAAATATTTTACGTGAAATTTTTGGCAGGTCGTGTTGGTTTGGTCAAGGCCGCGCAAAGTCAACTCCCAAGCATTTTATGGAAGAAGAAGCCCGGGCAGAGGGTGCAAAATACTGAAAACCCCCTATGAAAAGTAGGGTCAATGAGTAACAAAAAGAAACAAAAAAAAATTCATTGGACCCCAAAGACTTTTAACACCCTTCCCTTCATTTATAATTTATTACCAAAAAGGCCCCTACGTCTTCAAGAGGGAACTTGTCAGGTTCCTCTTATTAGTTCCGATAACCATGTCATGCTTTTCAGGAGTACAAATCCTCAGAAAATAACCCCTTAAAATCTTTTAATGATAAGCACCTTACATACAATGCTCAACCCCTGTAAATTTTTAAGACTAAAATTGTTAAAATTGATCCAAATTTTACATGTTTTTTTCAAAAGTTGAAACAAATTTCGGGGTATTCCACAAGAAATGGTGTAGTTAAATTTATGCAGACAATAATAAAAAAAGCTGTTGTTGTAGTTTTTTTTTCATGTTAAAAAAAACCAAAAAAAAAAAAAGGTTTCATTTCATATTATAGCTTCAGGGCCTTTTGGATTGAGTGTAGGGCGGAATTCAGGCCTCAGTTTGATCCCTTAAACCCTTTAAAGAAAATTTTGCATTGCCTTTTTTTTTTTTTCTGGCACTAAATAGGCTTCAAGAAAGGTGATTCTGTTGGATGGGAAAAAAACAAAAAACTTGTTGTTGCCTCACAGTTGGGGCCTGCAAACATGTTGGAGGGGAATATGCTTTGAGTTTAAAGTGAAAAATTTAAAATTAATTAAAAAGGTAACAATACAGTACTTTTTAAAATTGTAAATAAGAAACAGGTGAAACATTAGGGGAATCTCTTTTTTACGGATGTTTCACCTTTCCCTCCCCCACCTGATGGGCAAGAAGGGGCCTTAAGGATCGGGAACCAATCTCCAATTTACCATGTAAACTAAAATCACTGGGGGTCTAAAATGGGGGTTACAAAAAGGGATTCACTTTATTTGGGCCCTTTTCCAAAACTTCTCTTGTGAAAAATGCTAAATATTTGTACTGAAAATTACTTAATGCACAAACATGTTTTTTACTTTTTTGTTAAAATACAATTATACGTTTCATAATTAGCTGCAACTATTTCCCCCAAGGGCAAGTGACCAAATTTTTAAAATTCCCCTACCTTTGTAGCCTTTGGTGATGCCAAACTTTCCCTTTATTTTACCTCTGAGAGTTCAGGTTTTTCCCTTTGGAGACCCGGCCCTAGGCCAGGGTTTATCTGGTGCTTTTTTAGTCAACCAGGCTTTACACTGTTGGTCTGCTGATCCACTATTCATTACAGCCGGTTGTGTGGTACCCGGGGAAGATACTTGTCAATTTCCCCCCGAAGACTTCTATACTTGTCCTAGCAATGTTTCTGATATCTTTTGTTTGTGTTGAATAGTCTGGGGTCCTTTTTGGGTTCTCTTTTGTGCTCATGCACCTCGCTTGATGTTTTTCAACCCGCAGTTCTGCTAAAGCCCCCGGCCCAAAAGTGCCATCAAACCTGGCGATAGGTATCCGGGCAGATCCCCAGATGACTGACTTGGGGGTAAAATCTGAGGCCCCACATTTAAAAACAAATTACCCGGGAGGTAGGTAAGAGTTTTACCCCCCAGCCCGGTTTTGTCATTTTCGGAGTACTTTTCCAGGTAGGGCACCAGCCTCACATCTTAAAAATTTTTATTTATAATATATTATATATATATATATATATTTATAATTTATATATAATACAAAAACACAACACAACCACTTACCAAGGGGGGGTCGTGGCATACTGCCCCGAGGGGCCCGCCTGGGTAATATCATAAGCCCCGGCAATATGGCGGGCCCTTCCCCTCTCGATCAACTCACTTGCTTCAAATGCGAACTGTTGACCAAGCAAATGTCCTTCATCCGTAGTGCATATTTTTTTTCGAAATGAAGAAAAGAATTGGTTGATTTAACATCCAAAATTAACAAAAGGGAATTAGTAAAACTTATAAAACAATGAAATTTCAAAAAATATGTAATGCAACATCTAAGGCATTGTGTATAATTCATCTTGTGCCTGGGGATGTACTACTTTATTTAGAATTTTCCAGGGGTAAATTCATGTACTTCTCAACTGTAAGTACAATTCCGGGGTTTAAAGCATTCCCAATACTATGTTTTAAAAAACAATATTGTGCAGTGAAGGTTTTAGCATTTTCCCCTCTGCAATTTTTCCGTTTTTTTTAAAAGGGGGGGGGGGTGTTAGTTTACGCACCTTTTTGTTTCAGGCAGTTTTGAAAGGGGCTGTTATCATTTTCCTTGCAGCTGAAAAATACACTGCTGTGTCCCCGAATGTGACGTGTTATTCTGACGGTCACTTCCAAAATCCCCTCAGAAATTTTTGTCTCATACCCAGATTTTATTTTTTTGATTTTTTTTAAAGTGAAGTAATGACTTGGGCCATATTACACATAATATTGTTTTCCCTCCTCACAAGACCCGGTTTATATAGCTTTTTTGATTCGGTGTGACCTCAAGGATGGCACCCGGGAAATTCTTGAATCATCTGTAAGAATGATACAGCGCTATGACAAATTAGGTGATCATAATTATCTTGTTGTAGATTTCTGTATTGGGTGTCATGCCCCCCGGGCCCCGGGCCAGATGCGACTTCAGTTGTGGCCCTGATCAAAAAAAAGTGATTATGTGTGAGGAGGTGAAAGTGTTAAAAGTGTGAAAGTTTTTCTTTTTGGGGGGTTTTTTTTCTCTCGGGTCCCCCTGCCCGGTGGGAACGGCCTTTTTGAAAAAAAAAAAAAAATAATTATATATATATATTTATATATATATTTTTTATATATAAAAATTATATTTTATATATATATATTTTTTTTTATATAATCATAAAATTTGATGAGGGAAAAAAGGTGGGGGTGCGTTGAGGTATATGTGGAGTCAAAAAATTTATCTATGGAGGCAAAGAAGGAATGTATAAAATATAGAGTACAACACTCTATAGGGAGGGA